GAGTTTCAGGAACTGCCAGTATCAGCACCCAAAATTGCTTAATAGTTCTACATTTTTAGGTACAAGGTATTACACAACCTTACACTGTTGAAATTTATTAAAGTCAGAACAGAAGCATAATCAAAATACCTTTAGAAATTCAAAGACTGAGAACAGTGTATGCCTCACAACTTTGTATTAGTTGATAAAAATTGTCCTGAGCATTTTCAGGGTACTCTAGAATCAGTTCCAGCTGTCAGGACTTAGGAAGAGAAGAAATCCCTTTGCCCTGACTCAGTATGTGCTCCTTCCCAGTTTTGAAGAATCACCATTCAAAATATTAAAAACGTAAACTAGGGACAAAAGAACAAATAAAAAGGAAAGTAAAATCTAAGGCTCCCCCATCGCAAAAACAAAATAAAGCTTAACAAACTCAGTACAAAATAGCAGTCCTAATTTCTTCTCTGCATACCAAATAGTCATGTAGAAACTTACCTCTTCTTCCAACTCTTTTGATTCCATTTCTTAAAAAGCTCATATTAAGATTCTATTTTCAAATTAAAATACCCTAACAGGTAAGTAAACTACATGTTGAACTAACCACCTCATATCCTTCAGAAAGATTTCAGATCCTAATACATCTTGCCCTGTCCTGTTTCCACAGAGTGATCCTGTTTTGATACGTGTGTGGTAAGGGGGTGCCGTAGGTGGAGTTTTGACTACCAACCCATGATCCATTTTCATGGACCTCACTCCTTATTAAATATTCACACGTATGCATGTATATATGTTTTCTTAAATATCATCCATATTACTACCCTCTTAAAATCTATAGTTGGAAAGAAAAATCCTGAATTTGATAACTAATAAAAACTGAATGTGTTATACTCCATCCCTATAAAATACATGTTTTCTATGATGTAAAGGATATTCAGTATTATTCTCTAGAGGTAGACATGGGATTTTACTGTCTTACATAGGGCTGCTTTAAAGCAAATGGAGAACAATAATGTTAATGTTTGTGGCAGCTATTAGAAATCATACAAGAACACTGAATATATGCTAACCAGAAAACTTGGTTCACAGTCTAGAAACTGATTTCTCCTTTTCAAGGGGCCCCCTGGCAAAGCTGCAGGTGCTGTTTACTCCCATTTAATTAAACAGTCAGTGTCACAGGTTTTAAGGTCTAGTCCTTTGGAAAAAAATCAAACAGAATCCTAGAGCCACATCTTCATTTTGTCTGTATTTGTGATGTAACACTTGTTCTCAGAACATATTGAATCAGGAGCTACCTGTTGAACAAGAGTTGGGTAATTTCCATTGCTTATTCCAAGAATAAATGAAGCATTCTACTTAAGAATATATAAATATTAGAAGTGAGAAAGCCTCCTATATTGTAAAATAGATAAAAAGTATCATTGATTCCTATTTGCTTGAGCAATATAAGGAAACTGTATTATGTACAAAATCTACCTAAAATTACCAGTGAATTGAAATAATTACCTGAAACATTCAGGTAGAAGAAAAGGAAATTCCTTCACCTAAATATATCTAGAAAATTGCTCAAATTTTATATCTCCTGCATCTGCTCAGAACTATACAGCAGGTGCCAACATATTTTAAATACAGTTGAAGGTAAAAACTGTATTAAATTTGTAATACTCAAGTCACATTTGACTTCTGCAGTTACAGGAGGTGCTCAATATGACTTGTATTTATCTTTTGTTACCAATATATACTGAGTATCAAAATTTTAATATAGTTTTTTCCCTTTCTTAAAATGTGTATACATTTTTTTGGCACCCTCCGTATGCTTAATAGATGCACTCAGATGGTTAAAATTCTAGATCAGGCAGGAACTCTTCAGAACATTTAGTCCAAGGATTATGAACTTAAAGCTCTATAGAAGCTAAGAAGTTGAAATGAATGAGGGATTTGAAGAGTGCATGTCTATGTAAGCAAGCACTATTCAGCATGAGCTTCTTTTTACCATAGAAGAATGGGAAAGAGTAGTCTTCTTTTTCAAGAGAATCCAAACTCCAGACTTTTATATGAAGCCAGATTTTTTTTATATTTTCTTAAATGTTGATAACTGATTCATAATTTTCTTAAACAATACACGGCCATTAAGGGTGGCGCCTGTGGCTCAGTGAGTAGGGCGCCAGTCCCATATAGGGAGGGTGGTGGGTTCAAACCCGGCCCCACCCAAACTGCAACCAAAAAATAACCAGGCGTTGGGCAGCACCTGTGGCTCAAAAGGGTAGAGCGCCAGTCCCATGTGCTGGAGGTGGC